CACTTCTCATAACTGTAGTATAAACAATAGTCGAGTAATTATTTGTTTACTTACTCTCTCCCCCACTACGCTCTACACTCCACAGCAATATCTATGTCTGTTGAGCTGTGTTCACAAGTTCTTTGTATAGTTTGGCATATAAAGGCATTTAATCAATATTGTATGAATGAATAAATCAGTGAATTAATGTTAATAGTTTTTTGTCCATCTATAAATAAATATATTACTGTCTAAATTAATTTTTAATTATTGTATGATTGAATAAATAATGAGTTAGTCTTAATAGCTATTTGTCCATCTATAAATAAATAGATGTATTATAGTCTGAATTAAATTATAGGTTCATTCAAGTGTATGTACTAATACTGAATGTAATATCAATCTTTTAGTAGAATATAGTAGATACATTATATTCAGTGGTGTGCTGATAAATGTTAATGACTGGCTTTTTGTAAGAAAACACCCTGATTTGTAGCATTATCCAATTTCTGTAATCTAAATACATTTACCATGGATGCTTTCAAACATCCTACATTTCTTCATTGAATGTGGAGTTGGGAGGAAATCTGTGCAACTTGTTCTTAGTGACTTAGTGAAAGGAGGCTCTGGATCAACAGTGAGCACATTTACATGCTGGTTTTTAGTAATGGATGGCTCTTCACATACAAAGATTGTGCTGGTGGTACACATTCAATAGAACATGTACTTTAAAAAGATTTCAAATTAGTTAAATGCTATCAGTTGTAAAAGATACACTCAAAAGTCTCTATAGCTTAACACAGTAGATGTTTATTTCTCACATACATCAAGTCCACGCTGGTGTGGCTGATCAGCAGAATGCTCTCTTCCAAGTGTTCATTTAGGTGCCCAGCTTACATATTTTTGTGTGGCTCCTTTACCCTCTAGAGTTTTGAATGAAGAGCATGATGGTTGCATCAGACTTTTTTGATAATCATGAGGATGGCCCACAGCATTCCATTTATAACCAGTTAGTCAGAACGTAGTCATATGGCCATGGCCATTCCTAGCTGCAAGGGAGATTGGGAAATGTAGATTTCTAAGAGAAAAAGGAAATTAAGTGTAATAACTAGCCAGGTTCTTCAACAGTTTTCTAGTCTTCTGATAGGGTTAAGGTGATCAATTTACACTCTTCTCTGTCCAATGTTGTACACATTTATTAGGCTGGCAATGAGTAGAGGTAGTATTTTAAAAGTTCTTTTTTCTCTGCACAGTTAGCTGTATCTTACGGGCTTGACATATGGTCTCATTAGCACCAGTCCACAACCAATAATCTTACCCTCCTCAGAATTATTCTATTATTTATTATTTCTTCTTTAGATGAAAATCACAGAGTTTTGAGAGTGTTAAACTCCTTTAAATTACTGTATGTACTTAACATAATTTTGGTTTTGCTTTTTTTGACCATTCACTTTAGCTTTTGCATTTACCATTTTTAATGTTTTAAAAAGATGTTTTTATTTTCCTTAGTTTTTTTTCCCTTTCAACCCCACCAAGGGTGACTGTGGGATGGAATATGTGGTAATAAGTGACAGTTTCTGGTCATGAGCATTGCATGTCTTATATTGCTATATTACTTTGAAAAATTTGGCATATTTAGAACTTAATGTAATAATACCTTATAATTTTGAACTGTATATGACTTTGTAATTATAGGTCCTAGGCATTTTTTATATTTATGAGGACTAGCAAAACTAATAGGTTCTAATCATGGTGATTTATAGGCGTATACAATTTCTAAGATATTTTTAACAACATTTATTATAAGATGCATTTGGTGCTTAACTTTATTGATTAAAGTGTTCCATTAATAAAACTCCTGCTATTTTATTTCCATGTAAATTAAATTTTGTTCTGTTGATACAGAATTTGTCTCTAATAGACATTAGTGATTTCATAGCCAGTTAGTGAAAACCCATCTCGTAGCACGTCGGTGTGTGTGTTTGTATTTGTGAGCCATAGTTCTGCATCATTGACTTACAAGTTCAGTTGCTGTGTGTTGTAAGGCCTTCAAATGAAAGTGTCAATCCCTTGTACTACTTGAAGTGAATAGATTTAGGCTTCCTGAGCTTTAAAGATTAATCAACTATTAAACCAAGGGTGGGAGGAGATAGAAAAAGAAGAAAAGAAAGGTAATTGGGTGTTAGGATACTAAGCTAGCAGTTTAGAGGAAACATAGACACTGGTCAGAAAAAGAGCATCCGACATGGATAGCCAAAAGAATATCGGAAGAGTGTTAATGCGTAGAGAGTCTTCAGTTGGAATCAAACATCCTGCATCATGCCTTCCATTTATCTTACATTAGTACCCACTGGGTGTTAACTGGGGATCACAAAGCCCATAGCATTTCCAAGTCTTTATCTCATTTTGGGCTACGCAGAAACCGTAGATTTACCTAGTTCACACTGAGGTAAACCCGCAAAGCTGATCGTGACCTCTGTTGGCCTTACCTAGCCACTCTGAGGAATACACTTGTCACTCATTTCACATACTGAGCTGGGCATCTCTGCCCTAACCAGTGGTTCTCTAACTTTATCAAACATAGGGATTACCAGTAGGATTTTGCAAAAGCAGACAATCAAAACAAAACATTTCTGGTTCCCACCTGAAGTTTCTGATTCATGAAGTTTAGAATGGGGCCTGAGGATTTGCACGTGTAATGAGTTCCCAGGTGATTCTGGTGCTGCTCTAGAAGAGGTTAAGTAACCTGTTTACCTTGTGATAAAGGAAGAAGCAGCAATAGGTTTGTTTCTGCAGGTGATTATGATTGGCTCGTAATCTGTCTTGCAGACTCTCATTTCTGTTTTGTTGTCAATTACCAGGCAGGAAGGGATGTTTTATTGAATATTCTGTGTGACTTATTGTAGGTGAATTCGTATCACAGAATCATACTGTATCATGCATAGTGTTTAAAATAAAGAGAAAAGTTGAATATCGAACAATTTATTTGAACACTATTTTGTGGTTATTTACTTATTTCAACTGTTTAATTTTATTTAATCTTTATTGTGTTTTTTATATTACCTTTTAGTCCTCTTATATTCCCGCCCCAACAATCACCACACTGTTGTCTGTGCCCATGGGTCCTTTTTCCTTTGCCTTTCACTTTAAAAAGAGATCTGCAATACCTACATTTGTCACAAGATGGCACTGAAAGACTGAAGATTTTGTTTGAAATTTGATTTTTGAAACTATTAATGGGTTAGGTATATTTACATTTCATGTGTATTCAAACCAAAAGAAACTTGAACTATGAGGTACTTTTTAAAGAATTGAATGAGATTTTGGTATTTCATATAAAAACTTTCTTAATTAGTTATAAAAATAAAGTAGTCACATATATTGACATTATTGATGACTAATTCTTTTGGAAATCTATGAGACATAAATCTTATTATAATAACATCAAACATTTTATTATCATTATCCCTCAAGAACTTCAAGTAAATTCAAGTTAGCAAGTGTTTGGAAGGTCTCACTGTTCTATGATTTATAAGGTCTTATTATGCATATGAAGATATATATCCTGCCTGCAATGAGCTCTGAATTTAGTTGGGAAAAAAGAAATGTATCTACAGTTCAAAGAGAGAACAAAGTAATAAAAAATGCTCCAATACAATGTTGTATGTTATTAACTATACAAACAATATGAACTGGAATAATGACCAATTAATTAGGCAAAAAAATTAAATGGTATTTCACAAAAATATCTTTGTATTAGTTGAAAACACTATTGAATTCTTCTCTTACTCAGATTATCTGTATTATTATAATGTATTTAAACTATGATGAACTGTTCAACAAGATGGAGTACTGTGTAAGATTCAGTATTTGACATAAATATATCAGGACCACTCACTTGAATTATGAACTCACCTTTTACTTTATGAGTATGTGATTTTATTTTTTTCTGATTAATTGAAAATTTTTTTCAAAAGACGGTGAAGATTTCCTTGTCACATGCATGTAACTTATGATATTCCTGGATTCCTGGAGTTTGAAAACCACATGTAAATTAAAAAAATCAAGTGTAGAATGGTGGTTACTAGGGTATTGGGGTTAAAATAAAGGTGATATGTTGTTTAATTGTTGTTTAAATCTATATGGGTATAGATTTTGAGTGTTGCAAACTGAATATGTCTTGGAGATCTGTCTCAGAACAGTGTGAATATACTGACCACTATTAACTGGGCACTTAAAAAAGTGTCCTACTAGAAACTGTGAGCAATTAATAGGTTTTTATTGAAGATAAAAAATGTTCCTAGTTTTATTTTAGCCATTAGGAGTTACTTAAATAAAACTTCCTTGGGAAGCCTATAATATAACTGGTGACAGAAGATTAACCTAATATACTAATGCAGTACTATCTACTGAAAGTATAACATATACTAGGCATTGTGCTAGACATTTATTTTTAGATAAAATTTTTTTCACTTTAAAAATTAAGTTTATTGGGGTGACATTGGTTAATAAACTTATGTTTCAAGTGTACAATTGTATGATACATCGTCTGTACATTTTATAGAAATTATTTCTTCAGTCTTCAAAACAACCCGGGAAAGTTACTATTATCATCCCTATTTTATCATTTAGGAGACTGGGTACTGAATATTCATATCTATAGCATGCTGTTGAAGTTACAAAGTTTCTAATCTTGGAGTTGATATTTAAACTCTTTAGCCTCAAAATCCATTTTCTATAAACTACACCATGCTCCTAATTTAAATAAAAATAATTGAAGAATACATATAAACAACTAGTAATTTGGTATTTCTACTACTAGTAAACATTGTCTATTTTATTATAATTATTCTGTCAAAATTAAAATAAAGGACATGATTTAATTAATGGTAGCCATTACTCTGGATTACATTTTAACTTCAGAAAGAATAACTATATACTGTTTTGTTGACATGAATTATTGTCTCTTGTTTTTAACTTTTGAAAGTACTGATTTCTTCTTTCTGTGTATTCACGTGCAGGTTATGTGGGTATGTAATTTGTGCCGAAAACAACAAGAAATCCTCACTAAGTCAGGAGCATGGTTTTATAATAGTGGATCTAATACACCACAGCCACCTGATCAAAAGACTCTCCGTGGACTGCGGCATGAGGAGGCGCCTCAGGAGAAGAAAGCAAAACTGCACGAGCAGGCCCAGTTCCAAGGACCCTCAGGTGACTTATCTGTACCTGCAGTGGAGAAAAGTCGATCTCATGGGCTCACAAGACAGGATTCTATTAAAAATGGGTCAGGAGTGAAGCACCAAATTGCCAGTGACATAGCTTCAGACAGGTAAACATTTTGTTTAATCTATAGGTAAACATTATTTTTAATCTTCATTCCAAATAGAAATAAAAATACATGAAATGTTTAGGCAACGAGTTGTCTAAATGTAATGTACGTGTCTGTGTTTTATATAAATGCTGAAAGTGATGTTTAGGACTTGAGCTATTACAGGTTTGGACAATCTTAGATTTGATGAGGGAGTGTCAGGTTTTCCAGAATAAAGAAATGAAATAGAACAGGGAACTTAGGTGGTTGTCACAGGAAAGAAAGTGGGCAACGGGAATGAAGAGGAGATGGTTTTGAGACACGTTGAAGAGGTTGGATTGATGGGACTAACTAGAAGTGGGAATTAAGAGAATGGGGAAGGCTAATAATGTTTCTGAAGATTCTGGTCTAGGCTGAAGGATGAAGTGGTTTTCCAAGCAGGTAAATATAGATACAAGGGTTTTATGAGTTTGATGTGTTCACGAACTAACTCTGTTACCACTATTTTGGCTCAATTTTATGGCCTTCTTCATGTTAAAATGGTTAGATTTTTTTAAAAAATAGTGTTTATAGTTCTTATATTTCCTACCTTTGAAAGGAGGAGAATGAAAAATCTTCATGGGAAGATTATTTTTCTATTCTGTGTTTCTCTTTTGAATTAAAAAGTTTAAGGAAAATGTGGTTTATACTATATGTGTTGTCCAGAGTCAGCAGATACGTTTCTGTGTGAACAAATATAAAGTCATGTGTTTTTGGAAAAGCAAATCTAAATTGTGCTTAGCAGGTGGTGGGTTCTGAGCAGCCAGTGATGACAGGTAAGAACCTGGGGACCACTAAAATGGTGCCCAGAGCCATCACACAGATGTGTTGTTAGTGTCTTGGGAGAATAATAAAATGATGGCTGCACCAGTTTTGTTGTTGTTTGTTTGAAAATGAGCAAAAGTGAAGCAGACAATGTAGTTCTGTCTTTGGGCCAAACCATGGTGATTTCATGACTAGAATACTATGAACACATCTCAGTGCAGAATCTCAGAGTTAAGAATTTTAAGGTAGGAAGATCATCTTAGGTCGAGAACTTAAGCACGCAGTTTGAGGCCAGGTGGTTTATTGGATGACGCGTCCAGAAACCACCTGGGCTGAGTAGGGGAGTGGAAAAGCACCCAGGTAAGAGAAAGGACACAGTACTGGATGCTTTAGAGAGCAGTTTACCGCTTTTGGCAATTGCGTATCTATCTTACTGGGACTTCTAGGACACACAGGGTGTCGTGAGCTCAGTTTTTCCATGTGATCAACTAGGAGGCTGGGGTATTTATAACACCTGTGTGCTGTTACTCATCTAGGCCCGTTCTGGCATATGTATAAAAGTATTTTAGGATGGACTGTGTGCATTTTGTTCTGACACTGAGTATTAAGATTGATCTTGCCAGCAAACCATAAAAAAAATCATCCTGTCTAAAAAGGATTTAAATAGAATTTTGTTCAGTGCCTCCTAAACTGGGGACACAGGTATAGGGATCAACTTCTGAACTCATGCATAGCACATAATTCTGAAGTATTATTCTTTTCTGATATTAAAGCTTAGTACAACTTTGACAGTTTAAAAAAGTTTAACTTTTTTATAGATTAGAAGTTAAAGAAATAATATTTGAAAAATACATTTTTTAGGAAAGTGTGATTAAATAAAATCTATTTTTTTCTTTATTAGCATGTTAAAAGTTTTTTTGTTCAAAATGACTTCTTATTGCTATGGAGATGGCTTTGGTAGCTACTTGAAAAATCACTATGCTCATTTAAAGTATGGTTTAAGAGCTTGTTCCATGAATACCCCAATTTTTTCATTTCCATCAGCTTTTGAATTCTTTACTGGGAGTACATTTTAGACCCGAGCTCATAGCGAAGGATTTTCTTATGCTTCAAGGGGTATTTTTCTTCTGCGTATTATCCCTTTATTCTGTGTAACTACTCCATATCCTAGCCATTCAGTTTCTTTGTCTCTGTAATTACTGTTGCTATTTTTGCTTGTGTGTATTTTATCGATATTCTCTGTAAATATAGGAATGTAATATCTATGTATATTTATTCCTTTAAAATGATAGCATATATATATTATCCTATTTTTCTTTTTTCATTTAGTAACGTATGTTGGAGATCTTTCCTTACTAGTACATAATGAGTTCGCTTCATCATATTTTATTTTTATTTTTTTATCCTCACTTGAGGACATGCTCACTGATTTTAGAGAGAGCAGAAGGAGGGAGGGAAACATCGATGCAAGAATATCAATTGGTTGTATGCTCATTGACCCCAACTGGGACCGAACTGTGACCCATGCATGGGCTCTGAGCAAGAATTGGACCCACAGCCTTTGGGTTTATGGGATGATGGTCCAACCAACAGAGTTGCACCCTCTAGGGCCATTGTTATTTTTAAGGGATGTGTCAAAATTACTTAGTCCCTAATGATACACACATTATTTCCAATTTTTTTTTTGCTATTACAAACACTGGTAATAAATAATCTCGTGTATGTGTATACATAGGTGTACACATATATTGTACTTATGCCTTTATATATACTCATATATTCAAATGCACGTATATACTTATAATTTTGTGTAAGAGTATATACTTATAATTTTATATGAGGGAAAATCTATAAGATAAGCTAAAATTTCCAGAGGTGGAATCGCTTGGTCAGAGTATGTACAGTTTTAATTTTTTATAGGCATTGCCAAATTGCCTACAATAGAGGATGTACCAATTTATAATACTATCAACAATAATACTTTTGATCTTTACCAGTCTGATTGGTGAAAAACAATACTGCAATACTTTTAATCTTTCTTTTTCACATCATAAATGAGTCAGGTTGAACATTTTTGTATATGTTTAAGAGCATTTATATGAATATTTCTTTTTTCTTTCTGAACTTTCTCTTTGTATATCTTGCCTATTTTTCTATTAAGTTGTTAGTTTTCATCTAAATGGATATTTAGCATCTCCATTTATATTATGGAAAATAACCTTTTGTGGAATGGATTGTGTATTAGCTTTCTATTGCTGTGATTACTATAAATCTAGTGGATTAAAACAACGTAAATGTATTATCTCACAGATTCCACGGGTCAAGATCAGGCTACAGGTTAGCTGAATCCTTGGCTCAGAGTCTCACAAGGCCGGAATCGAGGTGTTGGCTGGAGCTGTGATATCATTTGATGATTGGGGTTCTTTTCCAAGCTCACCGATTGTTGGCAAAATTCACTGTCTTGCAGTTCTATGACCGAAGCCCTCAGCTCAAGTGTCCCTCTTCACAGTGTGACAGTTTTTTTCTTTTTTTAAAACTGACAGGGGAATATCTACACTGCTCTGAGTCTTCCAGACTTCTGTCTCTGACCTCTGGAAACTGTCTTTTGAAGGGCTAACCTGCTAAATCAGGCCTCCCTATGACAGTTTTCCTTTTAACTTAAGGTCATCTGAGTAGGGACTTTAATTATATCCACATGGTCATCTCACTTTTGTGGTATAATCTAATCTAACCATGGGTGTTATGTCTCATCATAGCCACAGGTAGGGTGGTGGGAGGGGGAGATCACACAAGTGTGTACACCAGAAAGTAAGGTCATTTTAGAAATCTCCTTACCTCAGACTGCAAATGCTTTTCCCCAGTTTGTTACTATTTTTGATTTTGCTTATTCTTTTTCCGAAGCTTAACAGACATGTTTTTTACTATGGTGAAAATTCTTTTTGTGACTACTGATTTTTTTAGGGAGATATATTCATTTCATTCATTCATTCATTCATTCATTCATTCATTCATTCATTTATCTTTAGAGGGGAAGGAGAGAGGGAGAGAACATCAATGTATGGTTGCCTCTAGGGCGTCCCCTGCTGGGAACTGGCCTGCAGGGAACTGGCCTGCAACCCAGGCATGTGCCCTGACTGGGAATTGAACCTCGATCCTCTGGTTCTCAGGCCTGTGCTCAATCCACTGCGCTACACCAGCCAGGGCGATATATTCATTTTTTATGGAGAAAAAATTTCACCCCTTTAAAGTACACAATTCAGTGGGTTTACTGTATTTATGAACCTGCAAAACCATCACCTCTATTTAACTCCAGAACTCTTCCATCACCCCCAAGAGCAACTCTGTTTTTTGTTAAGTCACTTCCCATTCTTTTCTGCCCCCTGGTTTCCTGACACCCACCAATCTACTTTATATCCCTGTGGCTTTGCCTGTTCTGGACATTTCATAAAGAAGTGGAATCATACAATGCATGGCCTTTCGTGTCTGGTTCTTTCAGGTACCATGTTTTCAAGGTTCATCCATCTTACAGCATGAATCAGTAATTTATCTTTATGACTAGATGATATTTTATTGTATGAGCATATGACAACTTGTTTATTCATCTATCTATCATTTCTACTTTTTGTCTATTATGAGTAATACTGTTAATGGAAGTTTTTATATGGACATATGTTTTCAATTTTTTGTGTGTATTTTTGATTTTAGTCATCCCAGTGAGTGTAAAGTTTTTATCTCATTGTGGTTTTGATTTGCATTTCTCTAATGATTAATGATGTTATTGATCATCTTTTTTTTTCATAAATGGCTTATTAGCCATTTATATATCTTCATTGGAGAAATGTCTAGTTTAATGCTTTATTGTAGCCCTTCACTAAGATAAAAATATTCCTATGATTTCATGTAATACTACCACTATGATTGCTATTTTATTTTTACATTGTGAAACAGCAATCTGTCTGAAATTTATTAGGGCATGGGGTGAGGTACAGATCCAAACTGAAATTTTTTACACAAGATTACCCTTTGTTCCACTATATTTATTGAGGGAGCAGTCTTTTCTTCCCATTGATTTGAAATGCCATTTTTTAAATCACATATTGATTGTTCTATATTAGGGTATATTTTATAGATGTTCTGTAATGTTCGATTGATCAGTCTGTTCAAAGCTTATATATAGTTTCAAAAATCCCATTTCCATTATTACTTAAGCAAACCAA